TCGAACAATTTTTGAAACCTACCACTGGACCAAAAGTACACACACACACACACACACACACACACACACACACAGTTTCCTTGCAAGACTTTAGCAGATTCTTCCTAAATAGCCAGTTTTCCTTACACAATAGGACCTTGCATGCCAAAGCTACTAGGCACAAATATTTTTCTCCCCTCGTGTCATCACTCTGCTGAACATCTAATTCTCACATGACTGTCTTATGCCTAAAGATATTTACTCAGGCAGTAGGGCTGTGTTGCTATTATCCTTCTCATCTTTTCTACTACCGTCTCCTATTGGTATCTCATGATTATATTATATTACCTTGGAGAGCTTAGGCACCAGAGGCAAGTTCCTTATGTGTCCAATCACACTTGGGCAATAAAATAGTGTGTTCTAGTTAAAGATTCCAGCCTGTCTCCATTTTGGCAGTTTGTTGTACTAGTGTCAACTCGCAAAGCATCCCTGGCGTGAACTGACAACTAAGGTGTTTGCAATGGGAGACATGATCCTCTTGTCTTTCCAGTCAAAAGTTGTTCAAAACTTCCAAAGGAACTTTTAAGTTCCAACTGTAACTCTGACTGAAAACTGGCTTAACAAAGCACTAAACCTAATTCCTGGAGCCCACCAGTTCCCCTTCCCTGCCCATCTGCCAACTAAATCCTTTTGAAACTTTTCCAAAGTTCTCACAATCTCAGGGTAAAGCCGCCAGAGCCGCTCTTAAGAGCGAGAGGAGGGGCACGTAAATTGAATGAATAAATAAATAGCACCCCATCATAGACTCATGGAAGGAGAGTGGGGCCTGGCGTGCTAAGGTCACTGGGGTCGCGAAGAGTCGGACACGACCGCTGCAAGGAAGCTTGTTGAGACAGGGCCTACACGATTCGCCTGTTCGCCGTACCTTTTCAATGTCCACCAGCTCACTCTCGTAGATCTCAGCTATGGTTATATGGTGCTTGGCTGCAATGGTGAAACGGCCCTGAAAAAGAAAGGCCCGGGAAATAAAATGAATTAGAAACCAACTTTGGGGGATACCTGGATGTTTGCGTCCCGCCCGAGGCAGAGCTAATCCATGGCTTATCCTCCTCAGCTATGCCGAAATCAGGAAATTATCCTGAACCTCCAGATTCTATAAAGGCCGTCAAATTAGGCTTATGGCTTATTTAACGACCACCTTGTTTAGCCAGAGAATTTCTGGACCCGACTGTGGTCATAACTCAAGGACTATCTGTGTGGTTTACTGCAAATTCTGTAGCAAGAAGCACAAAATGCCATGTACCTCTAAAGGTGTGTGTGTGTGTTTATTTCCTCTATGCACAAACCTTTGTCAGCATTATGACGGTACTACACAATTTGTGTGTAAGCCAGACAACCCGTCCCCACCACACACACCATTTGTGGTTCCTTGCTTGGGAGCCATATCTTTAAAAAGCCAACACGGAACTCGTGAAAAACCACCCTCTATGTCAGGGGTGTCCAAACTTGGGAAGTTTAAGACTTGTGGACTTCAACTCCCAGAATTCCTCAGCCAAGGCTCGTGAAAAGCCGCCCTCTATGTCATGGGTGTCCAAGGTTGGCTGGGGAATTCTGGGAGTTGAAGTCCACAAGTCTTAAAGCTTCCCAAGTTTGGACATCCCTGCTCTATGTGGATTTGCCAAGTGAACTCTTTTGTCAAGCATTAAAATGTTCCCTGTTTTTAATTAAGAAGGGAGTTTCCGAATTATATAAGCGGCTCACCATGTCTGTGTAGATCTCAATAGCTCTGAGGAGACAATTAATGGCCTCTGTCAGAAAAGGAAGAAAAAGAGTGTAAGCCATTTTAAATGCAAGTAACATGAAGAAACGAAGCCATTCATCCATGCAGCTCCAGCTAACCTCCCCTGGGAGGGAACAGAAGGCAGGAATATTTATAGCATATTTCTTTTCTTGGATGAGATCAAGAAGCACTTAAGGGGAAACTGCGGAGTTCTTCTTGGAACCGGGACAGAGTATCTCGAGAACGGAAGGGGCTTCCTGGAGTGAGATCTGGGCAAACGGTTGGGCATCCTGCTGCCAAGGATAAACATTAAGCCAGTGTTTCTCAACCTTGGCAACTTGAAGATGTCTGGACTTCAACTCCCAGAATTCCCCAGCCAGCCCTCGCTTGCTGGGGAAATCTTGGAGTTTAAGTCCAGACATCTTCAAGTGCCAAGGGTGAGAAACACTGGCTTAATGTTTAACCTTGGG